AGCCCCGCATCGGGCTTGGAGCTGACAGTGTGGAACCTGCTTGAAATTCTGTCTCTCTCTCTCTACTTGTCCCTTGCTCACGTGCTCTGTCTCTCTCAAGATAAATAAATACATTAAAAAAAAAAAAAAGCCGGCTATAGCTACTTGACCACAGCCTTCCCTAGGAACTCCCAATTTTGCTATTTTGGGTTCCTGAACGCACTGTTCTGATTCAGTCTCTCTGCTTTCCCTGGCCTGTCCCTCTCCCTCCCGCCCCCTCCCTCTCAACTTGAATTACCTCTCCTCCATATAACCCGCCCACCCCAGGCACATGCAGGTCCATAAACTCCTCTCCAGAAGGGGCTCCCCGCCCACCTGTTCATGGGCTGCTCAGGGAGGTCCTGGATGCTTCTTCGTATCTTCAAGCTAACAAGAAGGGAAGTACTGAAAACAAAGGTGTGAGGGGCACCTGGCTGGTTCAGTCAGTAGAGCATGCAACTCTTGATGTCAGGGTCTCGAGTTCAAGCCTCACGTTGGGCATAAAGCTTAGTTTAAGAACAAAACAAAACACAAACAAAGGCATGAGTGAATGAGTCATTCAGCAAATGACTCTCCCGGGACCCTGAATGCTAAGGCTGAGGTGGGATGCAGGGAACTGTTTCCAAGCAAGGGCAACAGATGTTAGAGTGAAGGGATCCTAGAGAGGGTTGGTGGAGGCTGGCAGTCCTCAGATGTCTCCTCAGAATTGACCATCTCACCACTGTCATCCCAGCAGTTTGAGATTCAGCAGAAATCAGTAAGTATTTATTGTGGAGAGATTGCCTAAGAAATACAGGACATGTTTTTTTGCTGAAGCACTCGACATTTATTGAATGAGAAAAATGGGTAGATGACTTCCAATCAACCATGGAATTACTGTGCACACTCACACCCCTCCACTGTCTCCCCCCCCAAACCACTAGGAAAATGATAGTAACAGGATTAAAAAAAAAAATACGATCTAAATCCACAGGAACAAAAAAAGAGAGAGAGAAGAAAATATAGCCATTGAAAGCTGTCACCGGGGCACCTGGGTGGCTCAGTCGGTTGAGCATCTGACTGTTGATCTCGGTTCAGGTCATGGTCTCACAGTTCATGGGTTTGAGCCCCGTGTTGGGCTCTGCACTGACGGCACAGAACCTGTTTGGAATTCTCCCTCTCTCTCTCTGCCTCTCCCCAACTGGTGCTCGCTCCCTCAAAATAAGTAAACTTAAAAAAAAAAAAGGAAGATGCCATCAACACCTTGGAAGCCAGAAAGCAAATGGACAAAAGGTGACTGACTTAGCAGACCAGAAAATGTTGGAATCTCAGTGCCTATGGAGGTAGAATGTGCAAGAATCAAGGTGATTCAGGCAGCAGGACCCAAGAAAGGCTAAGGAATCAGAGGCCCTACGTACTGCAGAAGGTACAGATAGACTGCAAACAGGCCTGTTGGCATGGCTATTCAAGGGGTGCCTTGTGGCTCAGTTGGTTGAGCATCTGACTCTGGATGTCTGCTTAGGTCATGATCCCAGGGTCATCCCGTGGGATTGAGCTCCGTGTCAGGCTCCATGCTAAGTGTGGAGCTTGCTTGAGATTCTCTGTCTCTCTCTTTCTCTCTCTCTCTCCTTCTGCCCCTCTCCCTCACTAGTGCTCAATCTCTCTCTCAAAAAACCAAAAAAGAAAAAAAAGAAGCAGTTAGACCTGTCCACCTCTCCCAGCCAGGTGACCTCGCACCCATCCCCCGCCCCCTGCTCAGTCGGAGCCTAGGGGTTCACTCTCTGGGGAGACTGAATGCACAGGGCTCAGGACACCATGCCCAGTGACTGTAAGGGTGCCATGCTGGAAAGGGAGTTCAGTGATTATCGTCATCTTAAGCCACTAAGCTTTGGGGTGATTTGTTATGCAGCAGTAGACAACTAGCAGAGAAACAATGATGATAGACATGGAAAGCGTGGGATTCAGGACACTGGAGATCCCACATATTGGAGAGAGATGAGAATTCTCACCTGGATGCGGAGTGGAGATCCCAGGGGGATCGCTGGGCCACAGGCCCCGAGCGGAACCCAGGCCGACCACAGCAGAGGCACGCAGGGTTTGGGGACAGGGTCTTAAAGAAAAAAAAGCAAAGAAGCTAGGAGGAGGGGCGGGTATCTGAATGCATCCAGAAGCGAAATAAACCAAAAGGGGGTGAGAGATAAATATTAACTTTTAAGGAAAACAGAACTTTGTAAAGGATGTGTATTCCAAGCATACTACACGACATGGCAATGAATACATTTACATACTTCGAAACACTGTATATTGATTTAACAACCAAAAAAATCGTGATATAATTTTACTAGGATAATAGAGGCAAGAGACCATACAGGTTTGGAGAGGGGGGAGTCAAAATTGATTTTCAAACCATCAGTGGTGGGTTTGTTATCTAGGGCTTCCTTCCATAATGAGGTACCACAGACTGGGTGGTTTAAACAATAGGGTTGTATTTGTCTCGCGGTTCTGGAAGCTAGAAGTCTGCGATGGAGGTGTCGGCAGGGCCGTGCTCCCTCCGAAGACTTGAGGGAAGGATCTGTTCCAGGCTTCTTTCCCAGCTTCTGGTACTCCTTGGCTTGTGGCAGGCATAATTTCAGTCTTCCTGTGGTGTTCTCCCTGCGTGCGTGTCTGGGTCTGGGTCTGAATTTCCCCTTTTCCTGAGGACATCAGTCATATTGGATTAGGGCCCACCCCGATGACCTCATCTCAACTTGATCACCTTGCAAAGGCCCCGTTTCCAAACAAGGTCACGTTCACAGGTACGGGGAGGGGGAGGGGGAGGGAGGGCGGCGGGGAGGACTTCGGCATCTTTTGGAAGGACAGAATTCAACCCCTAACAGATGGATAATGTCTCGGATTAATAGATCAAGAAATAACAGCACGAGCACATTCTTTAGAAGGATGAAGGTAAATACGAGAAGAAATAAATAGATCAGAGAGTCGAAAGTGGATCCTTCTGGGTAGCAGAAATTGGGGTGGAGCCAAGGAGGCTGCTGTTTTTCCTTTATAAGCCTGAAAGGCCTGCCTAGCCGTTGAGCACAGGCACATTTCTCCCCAACCTTGGTCATCACACTCATCACGTGTCATTACAATTTGATTTACTCATCTGCGGTCCACACAGGACCATAAACTCCTGCAGGCTAATAATAATCACAGCCGTATTTACATAATGCTCGCTACGTAGCCTGCCACTATTCCAAGCAGCTCGCGACAACCCCGTGAAGGAGGTGCTGTTCCTAGCCACCATTTCAGATGGCAATACCGAGGCACAGAGAAGTGAAATAATTTGCCCAAGGTCACACAGCCAACTAGAAGAGCCTGGAGTAGAAAGGCAACACCATTTCTGTTTCTGTTTCATTTGGGCCTTTCCCTTTCTGCTGAGTATGGAATGGTACTCATAGTAGGCGCACAGTATCTGTTACGGGAAGGAAGGGTGGAGGGGCCTCCTTATCCACTCACCTTGGATGGGTGTGTGGTTCCCTTTTGTCCTGGGCCAGCCAAGCTTCGTTCTGTCTGCACCCCCATGCTCCCCTCTTAGGGGACCTGTCTACCCTTCAAGTCCTGCCCTCTGGGCAGCCATATTCTTTTCCATGTGGTCCATCCCACTACATTCCACTAACTGCAGCTGATTGGGCTAGAAAGGGCCCCTGGCCCAGGACCAGCCAATCAGAGGCTGGTCTGGGAGCCATGGCCATGGTGCGGCCTGGGGAGGAAAGACAAGTTGGCCAGTCCCATTCTCCCGACTGGGCAATGTTTCACTCAGCGGCACAGAGAATCTGAGCCACTGAGGCGTGGACAGAAGGCAGTATCAGTCTTCCCGCGGCTGCTTAAGTTGTGAGCAGTAGAGAATGGCTGGTGAATAGAGAGAAGGAGAACAAGAGAGAAGTAGAGAGATTCCTAGGACTCTCACAGAGCCCACCATCTATTCAATTCCAGGCCTCTGCTGCCTCCCAATCAAACCCCTTTTTCTCAAGATACCCGAGTCTCTTCTGATCCTGTAAACAACCCCCAGTGCCTCTGATGGCCCGTGTCTTGCATCTGGGCATTTCTCCTTTCTAGACGTTTCCTCTGTGCCTTCCTCTGCTTCTCCTCTTGCCTTCTCATTTCCCTCTCTCCCTGCCTAGTACTCTGGCTAACCAGACGTGACATTTTTACTGGACATTGTTTTTCATAAAGTCATGGACCACCAGCACTGTGAGGGACCTTTCAGATTAGTGCTGTCCAATAGAACTTTCTGCGAGAATGGCAGTCTTTCACACCTTCGCTGTCCAGTACAGTGGCCACCAGACACATGTCGCTATTAAGCGCTTGAAATGTAGCTGTTGTGACCGAGGGACTAAAGTTTGTATTTGATTTGATTTTAATCAACTTAAATGTAAATAGTCACATGTGACGAGTGGTGACTGAGTTGGATGACACAGTCACTTGATTATCTGATCCATTACTTCTTTTTGCAGATGAATCTCTTGTGAGTATCAGAGCCTTGGACCGTGTCTCTTGTCCCAGAGACTGTCTCCTCAAGTCACTGGCCAGCTATGGGACACAGCAGCCCATGAACTGGGGTGACTGGCCCTCGCTGAAGGTCAAGTAGCTGTGCTGAGAGCAGGCCAGGTTGATGCACGGAGGGTCTCCATGCAAGAGCCTACGTGTAGCAAGAGTTGAGGGATGGGTCAAGTGAGCGGGCAGAAATAGAACATTGTAACCCCAAATTCAGGGACACCTTTCTGATTTGGGAGGCCTCCTCGGAGGTCCAGCCCTGCTTCTTCCCGGTGACCTCCCCCGCCACCCTCTTTCCCCAGAGGCCTTTCCACCAAGATAGTCCTGTTCTGTGCCCCTGTTCCTCAGAGTCTCACTCTGCAGCAGCTGATGACTCCTTGAGCCCAGTGGTTTACTGTGCTCAGTGTGTTAAGCCCTGGGACGTAAGTGAACTGGCCGCTTCCCTAACTGGTTTTGCTTATGTTTCCCAGGTGTGGCCATGTGACCTCGTTCTGGCCAATGGCATGTGAACAGAAAAGGTGGATGTCACATCCGGGTCTGGCCCATAGAAACCTCCCATGTGTTCCTTCTGCTCCACATCTTGGTACAAATGAATCCATCAGAGCAACAAGATGGAAGGCACGTGGGTCCCTGAGCCAGTTGTAGAGAGGAGAGCCACTGTCCTTCGGGAACACCCACTTTTGGATTTCACATCAGCGGTCAGTAATCTGCACCCTGGGGCTGTATCGGCGGCAGTGGCCAGCATTTCCCTGACTGCGACACCCCAAGGAAGCACATGTCCTTCCGCACGGGTCCTTGTGTGTTGTGGACGCTGGGGACTGGGGTCGCCCCAGCAGTGCCAGTGAGGGAGCTGTGGTCCTGTGAATTGTCATCTGAGATCTCCGATCGCGAGGTGAAGGCAGTGAGCTGAGCTCAGAACTGACTGTGTCGGCATATGGGGCCTTGCTGCTCCACACAGCCTGCCCTCCCTGTGGCCCAGAGCTAACAGGCTCACGCTGGCCCCGCTCTCCCACTTCGCTGAATGGAAGGTTTCTAACTGATGCCCACAGGGAATGAATCCCTTTGGGGGGGTGGGGAGGGTGGGTGGGGGGCCAGGGCCGACAGAACAGTGTCCTCCGTATGGATAATACACGAGCCACATGGAGGTTCCTTCCTTCACGGGCCTCGGGCTGGACCTCAGTGTGAGAGACAGGGGAGCACCTTAGCTCCAAGGAGCTCACGTAACTCATTCTAATGTGAGGAGCAAGGAGAAAGTCAAAGGAATTGGAATCACGACTTGAGAGAGGCCCAAGGTGGGTATTTCCTGGCAAAGAGATGCGGAGTGTGGCCAAAACTCCCTGCCAAAATTTCCCGGCTCCGAGAGTCACGGATGAAGGGCACAGAAACTTTTCTGCCTCATTAACCCAACTAGGAACACGAGAAGAGGGTCAGGCCAGGAGGGCAAATATGGAGACCACTCTGGAGCTCACAGAGCCCGAGGGGTCAGGGGGGTGCCCACTACGCGCTTCCAGCAGCTGGAAGGGAACGGGGGACTGAGGTGCAAACCTGTGTCTGGAGACAGGTGATGATGAAAAGCATGGTAAGGGCGGCGGATGGCCGAGCGAGCCAGAAAGAACGTCAGGAAGAGGCTGACGGGGCAAATAAAGTGGGGCACTTGAGGCGCCGGGAAAGCAAGACAGGGAGACAAATGCAGAGCAGGAGAGGGAGGAAGAGATGCAGGGGAGAGGGGTGGCAGAGGAGCCACGTGGGGCGGAGCGTGGGGGAGGAAGGCGGTGGTCAGCCATGTGGAACAGTGAGGAGACGAGAGGGGACAGGGCACAGAGAGGCCATCGGATCCGGTGACACGAGCTCATTGGCGGCCCGCGAGAACAAAAGTGAGCCCAGAAGGACACTCACTGGTCGGCAAGGGGGAGCCAGGTGGAGACTGGAAATTTATGGCAGACAGTCTGCAGAAAGGATAAATTGCCCCTCGGGGACCGTGAGCTAATTGTGTCACGTGGGGCGCCTTGGGCAGGGACAGTCTAGCGGCACCAAACAGAAGCCCACTTGCACGAGCTCAAGTAAAAAGGGAGAATTTATGGGAGGAACAGGAGGCTACCTCGGAGATTCAAGGACAGGAAGTGCGGCCTGGCCTCTGGGGAAGGGAACCGGCGACTGGGGAGCCAGCAGGCACCTTGGCAGCTCTGTTCTGTCCTGCTCTGAGCTCTCTGAGCTCTGCTTTCCTCCGAGAACGCGTCTTCCTTTCCAGCTCCTGCTGCTGCTCTGTGCCCAAGGTGGACGATGGCTGCCTCGGGCGACCCTCCCCATTCTGTTTACTCTACTCTCCCTGGAGCCCACGACTGTGCCTGGTGCACAGCGTTCAAGCAGCCCTCGGAGGCTGCCTCGAACTGCCCAGATGTCCCAAGGCCAAGTTCCTGGGAGGGCCTCTAATTGGTCTGGTTGGGTCAGGTGCCCCTCCTTTACCCAATCAGCTGTGGCTGAGGCAAGGGTCTCGTGCTCTCGGGCCCCTCCGAGGGGACTGAGAAGCAGCATCTTTGGGAAGGGGGCCCAAGCAGCTTCTTGAAGGGAACGTGGTGGCTGTCGTACTTCGATGTTCCAGAAAAGCCGAACGCCTCGGAACTGCGTGGAACAGAAAGACACGGGTGAGGTCAGGCTCCACTTTAATGGGGGCCCATAAACGACTCCCTGGAGGCCACAAGGCGTGGGGCGGGTGTACCCACAGACAAACAGCGCTCCTAAAAAGAGATTTTTCTGTGCTTCCCTCCCTCCCCTCTACCCCCCCCCCCGCACGTACACACCCAGGCCTGGGGATGTAGGGTGTACACCTGTGGGTGTAGGGTAACCACAGGGTTAGCCAAGAAGCAGAAACTGTTAGCCCCGGAGTGGTTACCACCCTGGGACCAAACGAACGGGAGGAGGTCATGGTTACCCAAATTGCAAAGGGGGGCAGAGGTAAGTGGAGAAGCAGCAGAGGGGCGCCCTGGGTTGGTTAAGTGTCTGACTCTTCGGCTCGGGTCATGATCTCACAGTTCATGGGATTCTCTCCCCCTCTCTCTCTGCTCCTCTCCCTCAAAGAAGGGAAGGGAAGGGAGTGGAAGGGAGGGGAGGGGAGGGGAGGGAAGGGGGGGAGGGGAGGGGAGGGACTTTCAGTGGAAGGGCCTGTCAGCCCAAGTAGATTTCATAGGGAGGAAGTTGGGAAATACATCGTCACCTCATTCTTCTCCTGCCCTCTGGGCTCTTGATGGGCTTGTCCATTGGCCGGAACGGGCCGACGGGAAGGCAGACGATGGGGAGCCCTCTGAGAGGAGGCAAGAGGGTCAGCTTCCTGGGGTACAGGGCAGGGAGGAAGAGGGTATAGTGTGGACCTGAAGGGGTAAAGGGAAGATGGGAACATCTGCTTCCATGTGGGTCCTGCTCTACGGCACCGGCTCCTGCAAGGTAAGCCATGCGGCCCCTTTGCCTTTTGTTATGAGCACCTACCCCACTGCACAGCTCACACTTCCGACCCGCGCTTGCTGATGCCCTGGGTGAGTTCCGTGGTACCCATTTCTCACACGGGCAGTGTGGTGACAGTTGATGGCATTAACTGAGTGGGACCAGAAACCCCTCTTAAGGCAAAGGTTCAGAGGGAGGAAGAAAGAAAAGAGAATGAAATCCGAAATGCCCCAAAGACGAAGGCTGAATCATACTGTAGCTATTCTTCACATCCTCACCAGGAAGTGTGGATAGCGAGCCTTACCATCTTCTCTATTGCGGCCTCTGTACTGGGAATAAAAATAACCATAGCTGGCACATGCGGGTCTTTAAAGTTTACCGAGTGGTGTATATGCATTGTCTCATCGGATCCCCCTCAACAACCCTGCAACGTACAGTGTATTGGGGCGCCTTGGTGCCTCGGTCGGTTAAGCATCTGGCTTTGGCTCAAGTCATGATCTCACAGTTCCTGGGTTCAAGCCCCGCATTGGGCTCTGTGCTGACAGTACAGGGCCTGCTTGGGATTCTCTCTCTCTCTCTCTCTCTCTCTCTGCCTGTCCCCACAAGCTCTCTATCTCTCAAAATACATAGATAAACTTAAAAAAAAAAAAAAAAGGTACCCTGTGTTACCTTCCCAGTTTTACAGACCAGGCTCAGAGAGGCTGGGTGGTTTGCCCAAGGTCACTCAGCGGGTATTGGTGGAATTACAGCTAGGACTTCGAGTCCATTTCTACTGTCATTTGCACTCCACTGCCCATTGTCAGGAGACCTCTCAGGACTGTTCTTGCTGGGCTTACTGTCCAGATTGGGAAACTCCAACTTTCAAGAGGCTAAACAGCTGACCAGGGGGCCTGAGCGAATGGGCCAGAATGGGTGCCCAGGAGCTCTGCTGGAACACGGGGACCCTTTGTTTTCTGCTGCTACCTCCTGGATCACCGTCACCCCTTTCCTCTCTCTGCTCGGCTCTGCTTCAGATACAAGCAGAACGGGATGGTGGAGGGGGAATGCCTTCCCTCATCATTGCAAAACCGTATAATAATTGCAGGATTTTATTTTTTAATGTTTTTTTAGATTTATTTCAGAGAGAGAGAGAGAGACAGCATGAGCAGAGGAGGGTCAGAGAGAGAGAGAGACATAGAATCTGAAACAGACTCCAGGCTCTGAGCTGGCTGTCAGCACAGAGCCCAACGCGGGGCTTGAACCCATGAACCGTGAGGTCATGACCTGAGCCAAAGACGGACTCTTAACCGACTGAGCCACCCAGGCGCCCCAATTGCAGGATTTTAAAACTGAATTCACGGGGTGCCTGGCTGGATTAGCTGGAGGAGCATGGGACTCTTGATCTCACGGTTGTGGCTTTGAGTCCCATGTTGGGTATAGAGATTACTAAAAACCAAATAAACTTTAAAAACATTGAATTTTGGGCACCTGGGTGGCTCAGTCAGTGAAGCGTCCAACTTTGGCTCAAGTCATGATCTCGCGGTTTGTGGGTGCGAGTCCTGCATCGGGCTCTGTGCTGATAGTTCGGAGCCTGGCGCCTGTTTCAGATTTTGTGTCTCCCTCTCTCTCTCTGCCCCTTCCCTGCTCACACTCTCTCTCTCTCTCTCTCAAAAATAAACATTAAAAAATTTTAAAAAAACACTGAATTCACTTGCACGGATGAGCCCTAAAGACATGCTAGGTGAAATAGTCCAGTCACAAAGAGATAAATATTATATAATTTCACTCATATTAGGTACTTAAAGTAGTCAAATCCATAGAGATGGAAAGTAGAATGGGGGTCACCAGAGGCTGGGTTGGGGAAGGCAGAATGGGGGAGTTTGAGTTTAATGGGGACAGAGTTTCAGTTTTGCAAGATGACAGAAGTCCTGGAAATGGATGGTGGTGACAGTTGCACAACAGTGTGAAAGTACTTAATGTCACTGAGCTGTGCACTTTAAAATGGTTAAAATGGCAAATTTCATGTGTATTTTACACAAATTTTTAAAAAGTTTATTTATTTTGAGAGAGAGAAAGAACAGGGGAGGGTCAGAGAGAGAGAGAATCCCAAGCAGGCTCTGCTCTGTCAGCACAGAGTCTGACACGGGGCTTGTTCTCACGAACCACAAGATCATGACCTGAGACGAGATCAAGAGTTGGATGCTTAACTGGCTGAGCCACCCAGGCGCCCTTCTTCATTTTTCTAAAAACCGAATTTGTAAACATTCAATGAGCATCTAGCATGTGCCCTGCACTAGGAATTCAAAGCCATAGAGCATCAGCACTACCTTCAAGGACCGGTCAGTCCTATCAGGCAAAGCAACACACTTAGCGCTGCGTGGAAAGTGTAATAGTTTGGCTGAGGGAGAAGGACGGGAGGGCAGCTCCGTTGCGCACGCGGGGGTGGGGGTGGGGGTACAGTGAAGCCTTCCCGAAGGAAGTAGTATCCTAGCGGAACGGTCCAGGAATGGAGGCAACTTGATGCGTGTGAAAGAGAGGTTGAGCAGAAGGTGGAGGAGCTGGGGGTGTGGAACATTCCAAGCAGACTAATATAGAGGTGTGAGATAGCTGCTAAAGCTCTTCTCTTTTATTTGTGGGAATGTAGCTAAATCCATATCCCCTTATTTTACACCAAGAGGTCTGTGACCGTGCTTCTCAAACCATCTGTGACGAAGAACATGCGTGTGTGTGTGTGTGTGTGTGTGTGTGTGTATGTGACGGGGGGGTGTATGTGTGTTTAATTTCCAGTCCATCACAGACTGATATGTGGCCCTACTGTGTATGACTATTACAGAGCTCGTGTTGCACGCCACTCCCCATGCACGTTTGAACGAATCTACTTCCTGTTCAATAAGAGTCCACTGATCACCGGCCTGGATGTTACAAGGTCAAGTTGCTTTCAAGGTTTCAGAATGTTTACCCTTTCGCTTATCTTATTGTGGACTAGCATGGGCCACAGACCACGCTTTGAGCAGCGCTCGTCTATAAGATGGTAAGTCCTTTAAAGGGAGGGGCCACTTCCTTTGATCTTATCCATCCTTGTGCGTGCCTTCAGATTTTTAGCAGGACCACCCAAAAGAAGCCCTCTCCTTGCCCAGGAAGGAATGCCCACTTGTTAATTAGCTAGTGTTTTGAATATGGAAAGCTCTGCCAGCATTAAATATTATTATTATTATTAGCCTCGTGTCCACTATAGTAGCTGTCATTTAATTAGAACAGCATAATAGGCAAATCTGCCTTAATTGGCTGGGATGTGGCTAAGAAATCGTTTCACGTCTGTGTCTGTGTTTCTCTGTTCTGTGGCCATCACATCGCATTCTCTGGCAATGGGTCATTTTGGAGACCTTGGGCAGGGTTCAGGGAAGGTTATCTGGCTACTGATTAACACTTAATTAGTACCTTTTTCATGTAGCACAGCAGTGACTTTGTAAATTTAAAAATTTCAGGGGACCACTTAATGTGGAATTAAAGTACAAGTGCAATATTTAAGATGCATGAAATTGTTTTACGCATTACAGCATTAACTAGCTCTTAATTTATGCGGCGCATGCCAGAGAAGGGCAATTAAAGTGTAGCAGGGAAAAAAAATTATAGATCTCTATGTTGTCCTGTCTTTTCCTCTAACGATGCTTTTGAAGGCTTTCGCTACATCTGTATCTCAACTCCTGTTCTATATTTAGGAGTAAATGGCAAATTCTGATGCCTGTTTGCCACCACAGGAATTGGCATTGTCTTTAACCTGAAACTATCTCCAAGGAGAGCCAATGAGATGTCAGGAAGCATGTGCTGGAGCCTTATGGGAAAGTGATGCTAACGGTGTCCTCCTTGGGAGCTATCAGAAGGAGTGAGTCCCTTTTCCTCTGGCCACTGTGAGGATGTGAGGTCCGGAAGGGTGGCAGCCATTTTGTAAGCCATCTGCAGCTGGAGGCAAGCCATTGTTTGGAATTTGGCAATGAAGTCAATACCACACGAGGCTGTGTGGCAAGATACCGTGGGAGACCTGGGAGACACGGGATTGGAATTTGTCTGAAGGCCATCTGACTTCGGGACTTTTGAGTTATGTTGGAGCCTATAAATATTACCACATATTCCCACTTTTATTCATGCTGTTCCCTTTGACTGGAATCCTCTTCCATCTCCATCCTTCAAGGTCAGGTCCAAATGCCACGCATCTAAGAAACTTGCCTTGATGTGAACCACGCTTGAGATGGTCAGAACTATGTCCCCCTCCTCTGGATGCTAATGCCCCTTACTTGAACTTCTCCTTCATCAAGGAGCGCGTGCCACCCTGAAAAGCGTGAAGATGCAAGTGTGACTCTCCACCTCCCCTGTGGGGACCTAAGCTCTGGCTTCGTCTGTCCCCGGCTTTAGAATTGCACTGGACACACTGAATCTGCAAAGTGACACAATCCCGTTCCTAGAAAGGAACGTTAATATTGGGATGTCATCGTCAGAAGCCGAGAAAGCGCGTCCAAGCATATGGGCTTCTTAGCTAAAGCCAGAGGCAAAGAAACTGGGTAAAAGCTGCAGGTGGGTGGGTCCCTGGGCCACTGCAGCTGTTGAGGGCAAGCGAGGACTTGCCTTAAGGGGGAGGAGTCACAGACACGGGCCAGTCTTATAACTTACACAGAGGGATACAGTCTCCAAGTACAAAGTCAAGGGCTAGGAAAGTAAAAGTTTCTCTGTATCTCCCCTTCCCCACACTCCGTGTCCTCTGTGGCTAATACGTGCCTGAGCTGTTCTGATCCCCTCCTTCCCTGCCCGCCCCCCCCCCCCAAGCCGACAGCCTTCTGGTCCACCATCCACCCAGCCCTTCTCCGGGTGACCCAGCCAACAGCTGAGCAAGGCGGTGGCAGTCGGTGCTGGACATTTCCCGGCAATGCAAGCCCTCCCTCAATGGCACCCTTTGCTCTGGGTTCCCAGAGAGACTTTTCAGAGCTGCGTTGCCACCTGCTGGCTCCCCCTGCCCAGTCCTGCTTCTGCTCCTTCTGCTTCCCGGGGGGCTCCTCCCAGTAAGCCCTTGGCACTCTCAGCTCCATCTCAGCGCCTGCCTCCCTGGGAACCCAACCTGCAACACCCTCCCCAGAGGTAACAACTGCTAGCTGTGGCGTGTGGATTCCTAAAATTGTAGCACATCTCCACAAACAGTAGATGTCAGTGCACATAGGCATGTCTTTTTTTTTTTAATGTTTATTTATTTTGGGGAAGGGGCGGGGGGGTGGGGAGAGAGAATCCCAAGCAGGCTCTGTACTGTCAGCACAGAGCCCAACGTGGGGCTCCATCACACAAACAGGGAGATCATGACCTGAGCCGAGATCAAGAGTCAGATGCTTGACCGACCGAGCCACCCAGGCGCTCTTGCATATCATTCTTTTTATTTGCTGTATACTATGCTATAGTATGGTGAGTCCATTGTTTGCTTAACCATTCTTCTGCTGACGAACATTCGCATAGTTTCTCTTTCCTGTTATTCCTAATAACACTGCTAGGAATGTGCTACAAATGGATTTCAAATCAACTGAATGTTATTCCAAGCACTATAAGCCATGAACCTGGGTCAACCATGCCTTTTATTTCCTGTGTTCTCATGCTTTGATATCTGGGCCCCTGCTAACCTGGAAGGGACTACCCTGCCCAGGGTTAGCCAATTTCTAGAGATGATAGACAACTGGCCCTTGAGTGCACCTTTCAAATGCAAACCAACCAGCCCGGACCCCACACCCCTAATCACCTTCCCTACCAGGCTGTCACACTCCTCGGCACTGTCCACCTGCCCTGATCAGACAGCTAGGGACCCTTCCTTCCCGGGCCCCAGAGCCCAGTGAGATTATGCTAACTAGCCTGCCCTAAACCTGCTTACCCTGCCTCGCCTGCTCCTTCCTTAGAAACCACGTTAAAGGCACTTGCCCATAGGATCCCCCTCTCCCTCTGCCTCCTGACGGACCCCAGTGCTTCCCCATGCAGCCCTCGTGGCCTGGCGAGCCCCCTCCTCTTGAGATTTGTAAGTATAACCAGTTATCTTTTCTATGGCGGTCCCCTTCTGATCTGTTGGCCTCACCATACCTGAAGAATAATAAAGCCTGTATTTCAGAACGGGACCTAGCCCAGGCAAGGTGGAACCCACATTTTCCATTCCTCCCCAAGGTTCCAGAATGCTTTAGTTTCGTGAACTCTTCCCGGGCAAATGCGAAGCGCTAAATGTGCGCGTTCCTTAGGTCAGACACAAGAAAGAACTTCCTGCTAGGAGGCAAGGCCACCTGAAACACCCTGCTTGCGGAGCGTCTTGCAAACAGTGTCGTCAACAGTCAACAGTAACAACAAGCTCGGGAGCCGGATTCCCCACGGAGCGGAGGCAGGGACTGGGACGATCAGCTGTCTCCCGCAGGCTGAAGGCTTTGGGAATTTACCGCTCGCAGGGGCACCGCCCCACCCCTTGTGCAAGGAGGCCACGAGGGTCCCAGCGGCCAGGGCCCCAGGGCCGCCGTCCCTGCAGGCAGCTGAGGTCATGCTCACCTGAGAGGGGAGTAGGGATGGGCTGATCGCCCTCTCCACTGCCCTGGGGCTCTGGGCCCGATGACGTGGGGCATCCTAGCTGAGGCCGGCCTGTGTTCCCAGCTGCCTGCCGGGAGCCGGAGCCTGTCAGCTCGAGCGGCAGCGAGGGAAGACGTTTCTGACACAAAACCCCAGGGGAGTCCACGGAGGAGCTGGGCTGTCATTACTTATTAACAATGGGCCTGATCCCCAGCCAGGCAGGCCCAGGGAAATAGCCTGTAGGGAGGCCAGCCTCCCCCCTGCGAGGTGGATTAACACTTTCTGGGCAGGAGGGAGCTGTTTGGGGGGTCAGTTGTCACATTTTGCATGTAAGAGGGACCATTCTTTACATATTAGACACAGGCACACTCTTCTCGCCTTCCCCTCCCCCTCTGTGTCTGCCTTCTCCGCTGTTCCCTGGCCCCTCGGGTTCTAAGCAGGCAAACCCACAGGATGTGGGAGGCTGTGCTCCCAGGGAAAAGGAGGATTTGAGAATGTACACAGCCTAAGTCTAATGCCTGTAGAACTAGCCCCGGGGGCAGGGGGTGGGGGGGAGGGGAACAGGGAGAGGCAGGTGGAGCTGCACTGGCTGGTCATTAAAACTGGTTATCGCCCCCTTTTCTCGCCCCTCAGGGGGTCCTGGGCTCTAGTGCCAGCATTGCTCCATCCCAGCTCCGCAATCTCAGGTGGGCAGAGTGACCCGCCCCTGATGCTGCAGGTCTGTTTTCCAGACCAGCAGATGCTGACACAGAGATTGGCACACGGAGCATTTTTTTTAGGGAGCACTTCTAGGATCAGCACCCGGAGAAGGGAGGAAATGGAGGCAGAGGCAGGCAGAGGCAAAAACTGAACTGCAATGCCAGCCCGACCGACCGGAACCCCGGACGAACCAATGGAAGGCTCTGGAGCGCGGGTGCCCGTTCAGAGCATTTCTGAGTTGGGCTGGAGGGACGAGCGTCCGTAGCCTTACGTGGATCAGCCCCTGGGAGGGGGTGCCGCTCCAGAAGCTGGCATGACCCTGGGCACGGTGGTTTCTTCAGCCTAGGGGAAGGGCTGACAGCTGAGGGCAAGCTGCAGGCAGTATCTCCGAGGCAGAGGGTGGAAGTGCTTCCTGAGCACAGCCATCTACAAACATCTTGCCTCCCAGGAGCACGCCAGGGGCATTCCTCAGGATTCCTGCCTCCCCAGAGGCCAACCCGGCCTCCTTTCCTGCTGCCTCTCCTCACATCCTTCCTGCCAGCCTCCTCCCATCTCTCTCCTCACCCTTCTCCCGTCCCTCCTCCTCCCCCCCCTTCTTCCTTCCATTCCCCAGATGCAGCTGCCATCACAGAGGTTTACAAAGTGTTAACGGCCCATCCAATCTGGTGGGGCCGGTGCCAGTTTACAAGGAAGTCGAAGTGCCCTAATCGAGGTGGAAAGATCAGGAAGCCCCTCCTTCGGGCTGCTGTTGTCTTGCTATAAAACACTCTGTAATCTGTAAAGAGCTGGTTGGCCGAATCAGGAGCATTCCCCCCACCCCCACCCCCAATTGGGCGCTTCCAAACTTCGCCACAGGGGGTGCTAAATTGTCCTAGGTGCTTTCTGTGTTATTTATGTCAACAGGGGCAGGAAATGCATGGTCGTTATGTGGGGCGTATTGTAAAGTCAGTTCCGCGTGGGTCATTTGGTGTGTAGGGAGGTAAGTGTTAGCTTTCTTCTGCTTTAGGCGACGGCGGTGGGCCTAACTGGGGACACGCATTTAGGAAATGGTCAGTTAGCATTTTATGGCAAGTCCACGCTCTCAGCGCACACCGTGACCTGTGCTTCAAACAGCCCCAGAGGTTTTGTGCGTTAGCAGAAAGAGCGTTAGAAATGAGTTCACGCTGGTGAAGGTCCTGGCTTCCGAGAGGGGTGTGCTGGCTGGGAACCGGAGCGGCATTCCGGCCGGTGCAGGTGCAGAGGTGGAAAAATCTGGCACGCCCTGCGGTTTGTTCTCGGAGGAATGGCACTGCCAGCTTGATTCCTAAGTGATCCTGCGTGAATCCGGCTGTGGATTTGGTGGACTTTGCGCCCCTGAAGTTGGACCAGAAGGTTAGAGAATCCCGCTGTGAGAATCACGTCGTACTTGCCTCAGGCAGACTTTTCTGCGAAGCTGTTGGAGCTCTTAAAAAGGGGGCGGGAACTTCACGGGATTTCCAGAACAAGTTATACGACTGCTTGGCGCAGCTAGTTGCGAACTGAGGACTTCGTTTCATGGTAACGCGCTGGCACGGTGGGGGAGGGGCCCTATGTCCTCACCTACCTTTAATTACTTAAGGTTACAGAGATTTTCCAAAAAGAACCTAATCGTTTTTGCAAGACCAAACTGGCTTAGGTCAGTTTGCACCAGCCTAAAATCCCACCCCAGATCCTCTATAAAACCTTAATCAGCTGTGAATTCCCACCTCCCCCCCATCCATAACCACTGTGTACCTCAATGTGTGCTCACAGGTATAATCAAGGTCCAATACTTGTGTCCTCTGTCATAAGAAGCTGCAATAACTGTAAGTGTTGTTTTCTTTAAATATATATTTCTCTTTTTAAAAGAGATTTAGTTATTTTTGAGAGCGGAAGAGCACGCTCATGAGGGTGCGCAAGCAGGGGAGGGGCAGGGAAGGGGAGAGAGAATTCCAAGCAGGCTCCACGCTGTCAGCACACAGCCTGACATGGGGCTCCATTTCATGAACTGTGAAATCATGACCTGGACTGAAATCAAAAGTCAGTCGCTCAACCGACTAAGTCCCCCCCCCCACCGCACCCCTGTTTTCTTAAACCACTCCAAAACAGGTTGTTGTATTCACAAACTGGAGACTGATGTCTTGGGGCCAGGGGTGGGGTGGGGTGGGGTGGGGTTAAAAAAATCAGTGCTCAGAAGTGTCCACAGCTTTTCTAGTATTTCTCAATGTCTCAGCAAGGAAGCCCCTAGCATTCACTCATCGGTAGAAGTGTTTCTTTCCGTAGAAGTATTTATTAAGGGCTGGCGTGCCTGAGCACTGGGACAGACGTAGTATGGAGCGAACTGTATAGACGTGGTCCCTCGTGTCTCCATGTT